AACCTCAATATTATACATCTTTTCCTTCCAAGGATACATCATAGGAATGTCAAAATGTTTAGAACAGAATCAGCAAACTTCTTTGTGTGGAGTTCGGTCAAACACTGATGGCAGTCATGCTTGTTTTTATTATTAGAGGACGCTTATGAGCATAATCGTTCCATATTTTGAATAAGCATTTCCTGATATGGTAGGATGAAAATACACTGTGAAATACTGCAAAATTACGCCATGCTGTAACTTATGACGTTACAGTGATAATTGTATAACAACAAATTTATACCTTGATTGTCTTGTCTCCACATCTTAGAATATCTTTTTCCAGTCTTACAGTTTGTCTCATGGGTCGCAGACCAACACAGTCTTCTAATACTGGAGCCTCCTGAAAGAGTAATCTTGCATGACCTCAAACACAAATATCCGTCTGTTGTATAATTTGTAATTTCTGTCATTCTTTTAAGACATAATTCAGGCAGGCATATAGTAATTTATTCAGTACCACTGGACAAAATTTGCAAAACGTGTGATTAATGACTCTAATTTCATACCTTTAAGCGTGGAATTACGCGACAACATGCATCCATAATTGTTTGTTTGTCAATCTCACTGACTTCTTTATTCCAATTATTTGGCTGTATAGTAACACCAAGAAAGACATCATCAGAGCTGATAAAGGAAATTTGCCACAAGTTTGAATTACATATCTGAAATTAGCTTAATTCATTTATGTCAGACATGGTGTGAAAGATTAATTTACATTGACTTCGGTATCTCGATCAATTTCAATTAAAATTGTTTTGACATCACTCATGGGTTACTGATGCAACTCACTTCGGTATAATTCAACAATATGAACACAAACTTGTCACTGACCATTGTATAATCAAGACAGCATTGTAACTAATCAAAATATAATTCCAACATGAACACAGTGTTGTAACTTACCGTGTATAATTCCAACATGAACACAGTGTTGTAACTTACCGTGGTATAATTACAACATGACAAGAACTTGTATGATCTTCCACTATACAGAATTTTTTAAGCCAAGGAGCTGAAACCTAAAATAAGATTTATCAGAATACAATGGTATTCATCAAAACTATATAGTGCCATGTTTTGACTAATGCAAATCATTATTCATGTTTATTTTTTGTGAAAGGGCTTTGGCATTTATTTAGTTTCTTAAACACAAAATATTTATTGAACAACTATGTGGAAGTGTTTGGCACTTACTGAGGTAGAAGCATAGTAAATTATACTCTCCCCTCTTGTTTACTCTTATTGTTTTCCCTATTTGGATGTATTGAGGTTACTAATACTTTTCTTACCCTTATTGTTTTCCCTATTTGAATGTATTGAGGTTACTAAATACTTTGTTTACCCTTCTTGTTTTCCCTATTTGGATGTATTGAGGTTACT